AGGACCAGTAATGAAGACAAAGTGAAGACAATAAATTTTAGGAGTTCCCGAAGAAAACTAGGAACAATGAAGCAGTCATACATGACGCAGGTTATCATTCATGACAATATCATGAGCGTAGAAACATAAGCAGCTACAGTTTATTAGGCAATTGAGATTACTTGAGTCTTTGTATGAAAAATAAAATACATAAAAAACTCTAACCCAGTCAAAAATCACAGATGAATTGCCGGCACTCTGAAGTAGATCGAGGGCGAGACGATCGGTAACATCCCCACGTATCGTGCCCGTAACATCGATGAAGTTTCCACTTTTTATGCGCGAAGGTTCGCTCTAAAACAGCACGCGGCCACGGTGCGTTACATAGGCTGACCACTCACGGCAGCGCCTTCATCATGGACGCTACGGGCATGAAACTCCGGCGCAACATAGATGGCCACCTCAAGTATTTGCTATTGTGGACAATGTTTACCATTACAATTTTTTCTAAAAGTATAACCGTTGCTCATTTGCATAAAAGAGTCATAAATATAGAAAAGCAAATGCTGATGAATTTTTGATATATGATTAAAATGAAATAAAAATTAGATTATAAGCGAAATTTAAATAGAAGCTGTGGTACAAGAAGAAATCACAGAGCCCGAAAACATCATGGCTTATTTATTCGAATGTGATAGCTCATTCATAAAAAAATAAATCAAAACCAAATTATTTATTCAGTAAATTATATGTTTTTTCCTGATGTAGCATCCAAATGATAGAGAAAATAGTTAGTAATCCAAACATTTTTATCAATAATAAAGTTGGTATGACATGAATTTCCAACAAGCAAAAAGTTGAAATGTGTTTCATAACTGAAGAATAATTATTGTACCCACAGGTAAATAATTAGCACTTGATCTACACAAATATTTCAAGCCACTTCATCGTATGTGGGATTTTAGGACCACATTTTCCTGTGGTACTGCAGGTACAAAATTCCAGCTGATTAACGAACGGCAACTAAGTATATTTTTCCGAAGTACCTAAAATAAGCTGTGTATTAGAAATATTTAACTAATCGTTAATGTATTTGAAATGGGGACTGCCTCAAAGTCGGACAGTTTTTTAGGCCTATCTTTGAGATTTCACAGAAAAATATTTTGAAGACACAAAAATTCTCACTATTCTGAATAATCATTGCAGTAAAAAATTTATTATAGCAATAAAAACCAGCAGTAACAAATTACTGAATATAAATTAATTTTAATGGAATAGTATAAGTTCGGAAACTTATATCCAATCCGAAACTTTACTAGCATTTTAACAATCAAATAAGAATCCAAATCATGGCTGAATTGCGTTCAAAGTCGCTCACTATTTATATTAGAAATATAATTAGGCAAAAATGCATATTATGAATTATCTATAACAATAGGACTTGTGCTACGCCATTTTCAAGTAGCAAATGTAGCTTAAGATAAGACGACGACTATTCCGAACTATCGATAAGACGACGACTATCCAGTATGAAATTATAATTAGAGAAGTATAATTCCATCTAATCATGTTGCTCTATGATTATCGAACTTCTACTTCGCAACTGGCACATTTATCAGTGTTTTTTATATTTATACTGTCATTTTCGTTTTCTAACTTCAATATCTCATTGAACGATCGTTTATCATACATTACAATTTTGAAAATAGTTGAAGAGGCAGCCTTTAAAAAAAACTATCATGTTTGAATTGCGTGAAAAAAATTTTAAAGGATTTTTACGGCATTTAGCAATCATTTGAGTTTTCAAGGTACTTAAGCTTCGAGATCACGCAGAAAAAAATAGTAGACTTGTACTAGACTAGATATCACTAACTTCTTATATTTACTTGTAGCTACTATTTATTTGATAATGAAGTATGGAATTAAACTATCTCAATTCATTACTTCAATAATATAAAGAAAATTGATGAAGTACTTGAAAATCTTCAAGAAACTACTTTTCTGACACATGCAGCATTAAGTTTTGAAATCAACCTGATGACGAATATTAAGTCACCAGTCCACGTAAAATGATTCATGAAATGGATCTCAAATACTTTATAATTGTAGTTATGTTCCTTCAAACCCTACCCCATTATCCTATAAAAAGTCATTAATCTCAATAAAGTTGCCGCGATGACACCACATGTCGCAGTTCCGTCGTAATTCAGACAAGTGTTGCGGCAACGGTCCCCGCACGGAGACTTATTACAGCCTCGACCACGCAGGACATCAGCACCACATTCATCATATTTACTCATGCATTCATCATCTGTATGAACCCCATGTATGAACCCCATGTATGATCCCCATGTATGAATTAACCCCATTAATGTATGAACCCCATGGTGAGGAAAACATGGACAAATGAGTGGGTGTGCAAGATATTTATCATATCAGGTTGCCTCGCTTTTCCTATTGAATATGCGCATTTTTTCTCTGGTTAACATAACATGGTAAAACATGAACTAGTGAGTACCTCAGAAGTTTATTATCTTTCATTAACTTGATCAAATTATATTGAAATTTATATACACCATTATATTTGCTATAGTCTCGACGTTGCATTCAGGTAATTTTGAAATTTTGAAGCTTTTGTTGATTTAAGTGCAACGAATTGCAATCATTTGCAACAGGAGGAAACTCCAATTACGATTGTTTAAACTTTACACTCAGGCGTTTTATGTAATTGCTATTAGTATCAGCTGAACTCTTCAACGTGCAAAAGATGCGAGGGGCTTTTACAATCATCTATTTTTTCAGTTTTAAATGAAAGTGTTGTTGTTAGTAAAATTTAGATCAAGGCATTTAGAATTCAATTTCAAAATTTTAATGCATGCCTAATTTCAGGATTTTGGTAATCAAAATATTTCGAATGCAAAATGATATTAGGTCTTTAAATTTCAAGTTCATTAATTCATATTGTCTTTATTGCGAAATTTTTGTCTCACACACTAATTTTACTAATGCAACTGCTCATTTATACATCGATAATTCTTTATCTCTCACTCCTACAGTTTCCATTTTCTTTAAAAATGTTTACATTTGTCGGAAAATCATGTCTCACCAGATGAACATATTGAAGCCAAGATAAAATTAGCACAGGTTATTGTAGCATTTCAGTGTTAGTTGCAGGAAAGTAACCTCAAATCATGACCCCTACAAATGGTTTAATCTTCAACTTGAATTGAAAATTTTTATTGAAGTTAATGTACATAATTTTTAATTTTAACTTAATTGAATGTGTGAAAACGAATGACCTCGTTTGAATTTTACGAATATTCAATGTAAAGGATTAAGTTCCAGTGCTTTATAATTCATTATAATTAATTTGAAAAATGTATGAAACATTAAAAGTTTATAATAAAATTTAGCTTAACTAGCAGACGGCTCCTATTCATAAAATTCAGTTTAGTTTAGTCCTAGAAAAATGATAATGACTGTGGAAAAACAAACAGAAGCAATCAAGTTTAATAATTTCATAGCATTTTTTCGAAATTCAACCAGAAAAATAAATATTAAAATTTGCTCAAAAACAGATGTTACATTTATTAATCAATTTTTTGATACATACATTGCATAAATTTATATCCATATATCAGACCTATTTATATATTGGTCTAATATATTCTAGAGCTCTTTTTCTCGCGTAGTTTTTCCGACACGGCACCTTAAAAACAGAGAAGAAAGAGAAATGACAATAAAATTCAAATAATAAAAACTTTCTGTGATATATGTCAAGAATTTGAGAGACACAAACGAGAAGGAAAAATGTTGCAGCGTCACAAAGAGGAACAACACTAAAAGATATTGACAACATTTACGAAACAATGGATTATAATAGGTACCACACAATATTTTGAATTAAAGTATCGGGAACGTCGAGCAAAATTCGAAACACGTAAATTGAATGAAAAATACGAAAACTTTTTTGGAATCAGGGCAATAACGTACATTGCAAAAATTCTCCTTAAAAAAAACTTTTGGCGCGAAATTAATTTGGTGGGTGACAAACTTCAAATTAATAATGTCATCGGTTACTGAACCAGTGTTTCAAACACGAGATTGTGTGTTCAAAATGCGCCCACTTTTATGTTGGATAAACTTTAATTTCAGATAACCAATTAATACTCTAATAAATGCCTATTAGTCTCTCTGGATACCAGCAATAATCAGAATTTATTGCTGGTTCATAAAATTGTTAAAACAATATAACAATACTGGTATTCGTATGGTATATTATATGATTTTTATTTCTACAATTCTGCACAAACGTAAGGAATATCTGCCTCAAAAAATTAAATGGAATTAACAACGACAAAATACATACGATGAATTTAATCCAGAGATTTCTTTCGAGAGTGCAATTTATTTTTGATCAAGTTACTCAGAATGGACAGTGTGTAAAATGATCAATGGTGTAGAACTTAATACTTAACATGCAATACGGAATTGGTCTTCAGCCTCTGGTGCAATTTCGTCACCACTTCAGTGATACAATTTCTAACCGTATTTGAAATCATTTATGTAAAAACTTCTATTTATGTCCACAGTGGCAAAATATTTCAATATTAACAATTCGTGTAGAAGTAAACATTTACTGACATTAAAATGTATAATTAGAAGCTACTAATTTAAAATTGTTTATATCATAGTATTTAATAAACTTAGTTGCTAAGATTGAGATTCATGTCTATGTTTTATGAACACCAAATTAAAGTTAAAGAACCACAGAGAAAAAATTGTATAAGCGCAACGATCTTATTTTACAAAAGTTACTCACAATAAAGTTGGATCTTTAGAAAAATTGTACTCGCAGTCATCAAAATCGAGAACAAATAAAAATTATATCACGTTTGAAAATAATCTAAAAAATGGTATTTATACTACAAAACATAAGCATTGTAATCAGACAAACTCTAAATAGACGAAATTATAAAGCAATCTTGATTTTTCTTCTTAAAATAAATTTATTTGCAACCTTCTAAAGTCGTGTAAGAATCCTGCAAAGTATTTAAATTCTGATTATTTCTTCAAAGTTTTCAATTCTAGGTATTTATACCATAATTTCTATGTATTTCAATAATAATTCATAGAGTAATTGGTAGAAAAGTGCAGAAATGGTTGCTCGGTCTAAAGTTTTGAGATTGGAATCTAACAAAAGAAAAAAGAAATTGAATTCTAAATCTCCATACCAGCAATTAGTTATTGCTTCAAATACTTTAGATTCAATAAAATAATCGTCAATTGTCGGATGCGAGTGCATTTGATACGAATGCATGCCAATATCGGAAAGAGATTACAATATTACAATCTCTGCCTTGGTAGAGATTATGTGAAAGTTCGATCACATCTCAAGTTCGATCACGTCTCAAGTCCGATCACGTCTCAAGTTCGATCACGTCTCAAGTTCGATCACGTCTCAAGTTTCATCAGAGTCCCGTAGGCAGGAATAGTCGATCTGGAACTGCCCAACGTCCGAGTCTTTGAAGCCGCCGAAGATGTACTTGCCGGGGCCGTGAGGTGTCTTGCCCAGCAGGAAGTTAGCGAAGGACATCAAGTAGACGTTCTCGGTGAGTGGGAAATCTCCGCACTGCGAAAATGAAAATTTTACATGAATTAGAGTATATTGAATTATAAATAAATGCTTCACTGCTTGTAAAAGACATGAGAGGCTGGGATTTGTCCAGCTGAGCATTTTTATGGCAACCGACTATAATTATAGTAAAATTTATTATATATTTTTTGGGTGTATACAATAAACGTAGATTTTGAGTTGCAAAAACCATTAAATGAACTAATATCTTTGTAAAAATGTACGTCGATATTTCGATCCCCGATACCGAAAGTCTAGTCGCTGTTGATTGTGCACTTGAAATTATCTGAGTCACGATGACGTGGAGTTTGCTCGACTCGCGTTTAAGAAGTAATGCTCTTTATTGAGTCGTATCGACTTTCTCCCGTGCCGTGACCAGCTCAAGGCCTTTAATTATTACTGATATCAGTAAAGGGTTTATATGTATGTATATGCAAGGTTGATTGAAGACAAGAGCTTGCTTATTATTAACAATATTTTTTTTTTCAACAAGTCGAACAAAATTTCTTGCTGGCGCCGGGAGATCAAATAGCAAGTTACTAAAAACATTTTAATGGAATGCGACTTTAATGGAATGCGAGTCCATGTATGAAATGGCAGAAAATCAAGAAAAATCGCTCAGTTAGGTGCGGGTGTTGTTCATAATGCCTGAGACAATCCTCCTAAATAATTCATATCCCTGATTACGGTGGGCTTTAGATGGATGGATGGGTGACCAACTACACAATCTCTGACTAGGGAGTGGTTTAGATGGATGGTAAATATTATATCATTATACATAAGAAGTTTGACACCATTATAACTTTAGGCACGATAGATAACATCGTCACGACGGATGCAAACGACATGTTAAGTATTAAGATCACTTGGCTGCTTAAGTCGCAAATTTACCAGGAATTTAAAAGTAAAGAAGAAAAAACCCAAAAAAGTTCGCCATTTCTTATAAGAGAAAACGTTTTCTCTTATAAGAAATGGTGAACTTTTTGGCTATTTTGTTTACTTTTAAATTCCACGACATGTTAACTCACGGAGGTGAAGGCGTTGTACGCTTCATGCGTCACTTCGGTCACCTGCTCCTCCCTTAGCTTGATGAAGTGGGCGTAGAAGCAGCGAAGCTCGTCCCAGGATATCACGCCGTTGTCTGTAGTAGCGAGAGAACATCACATAACTTGCCTCGAAATTCTTGCGGCAATTCCAGCACATATTGCCTCAGTTTAAATCTAGCGTTAGAATATCAGCACCAGAGTAGACCGGGAGCGTAAAGTGGGCGGATGAGACATGAGAAATGATTGTGTTTCTGTATGCTGCCATTTCATGCTACATACAAGCTCATTCATCAAATTCAACTCTCAAACTCAGATATATTGGCACGTTTTGGAAAATGGACTCGAAAGTGTTAGCTTTAAATTTTATTCGTTAGCTGATCTTGGACTTCTATGAAGTTTGGCAGCATGACATGGACTGATTCGAATATTGTCATAGTCTTATATGATTCATGTGTGAAAGAGTCTAATATGATTCATGAGTGCAAGATTAAACGAATTCCAATAAATGATAGGATGGAACAATTAATCAGCAAGTTCATTCGTGCCTGTTTTGACCGTCAATTTTCATGGTCGGTTGAAAGCAAACAGCATTACTTGAGTTAGGAAACGTTACCAACAGATATAAAGAAGACGATTTATTACAGTATTTTTTGATGTTTCAACTTTAAATTGGTGAGAAATGGGAAGTGAATTTCTCCCTCGGTCGCGAATATAACGTTAATTTTAAGAAATTTAGAACAAGTTAAAAAAGGAATTGAATGCTTGGAAGTTATCGGTAAATTTTTATTTTAATACAGTCATTTTTAGGAATTAACAGAAACGTAAAGGATATTTCTACCCAAACTTATCACAAATAAGTGAAAATTTCGCCAAGAAGTACTTCGCAAGTTATTGTTTATTGTAAAAATTAAATTCTAGCAATTATTCATAAAACCATTACTGGCTTCTTTATCAATTCTTAAAGTAAGCACTTTAATTTTTTTTACAAATTTTCGATTAAATAAACTAACATTTTTGCCAACTTAATAAAAATTTGGGTGCTATATAAAGTAATTTGAAAATTGGAATACCTTTTCTAAATTCTAATATTTTTTATTTTAACTGATAGCAAACAATTTGCAAATACTTAAAAGCATTCATTGGCTGGTAAAGAATTAATTTTTTTACAGCATACATGAATTTTCTGCTGTTCTATAACATAATTTTTTCTACTGTTCTAGACACTGGATCTTTGTTAATCTGGTCGAAAGTAGAGCAAGCCTTTGTAGTTCTTTGTATCATAACCATTTCTATGATAGGATAACATTTAATTGTTCTCGGAGGAACAAAGAAGGAGTGAATGCGGGGGTATGTAACAAGAATGGCCGAGTTGACGGAAGAAACAGTTCATTATAATGTGGCAAAAAGGAAGATATTACGGAGAAGAAGGAGAATATTACGGAATTGAATATCCTCCTCATGGGAGGATATTATCCAATATTCTTCTCATGACTCATTGAAGGAGCAGGATATTACGAAATTATTCATGCCCGCAAAAAGGAAGAAATTACGCGGGACAGAATATTCGATCATCTCGATCTCTGTTCGAGCTGCGATCGTTGCGCATTGACGATGTCATTGGCACGATCAATGTATACTGCGCAAAATTGTCTGAGCTAAAGTTACTAAGTAAATATCCTGATCGAGACACTCGAGCCAGGAACTTCTTACGCAAAAAGTTTCCAGGTACACTTCGATTCGATTTAGAAAATGACTGATTTTATTGCCCTTTTCGACTATTTTGGCTCTTAGATGATTAATAATTCAAGCGCCTGAAGATTATTATTCAGATTATTGCGGTTAATCTACCAGGAATACAGTGGATGTGAAGTTTCATTCATATCGGAAATGAATTTGCGTTCTATTAAAAAAATTCTGGGATGGTTACTCATCACTTGGCTTGTACCTAGCAAAACGAAAATCGATTACGTTCATAAATAATTCATAAAGCTACATATTTTGTGTAGTATTTTTTCACAAAAGCAGGTAAACGTGGATGCGTTTTGATCTGATATATATGTATGCTCGTATTGGATTTATGGACTTTTCCCTGAAGTTTAATTCAATTATACACAACAAAATTACTGTTCTTGAACTTGTCCATCCACAAAAGATGTTCATTGTTTTCAAATACATGACTTTAACTAAACCATCAGTACCTTAAATTGGTGGCGCCCTTTTTCTCCTTTCTATTATTTTTATTTAAAATATTTTTCCGATCAAAGCAACTTCAAAAAATGATCAGCCTGTCTCAGGACCAAATACACGTCTCTCGTAGACTCCATTAATCAAGATATTGAAAAATGATTGTGGAGAATTATCGATGAAGCTGACACTCGTATTCGGCGAGCTCTATAAAGCTGACCGAGGTTGATAAACGACAGCTTCTTAAAGGTAACGGCCGCTGTCTGCCGTGTCAATGTTAGCGTATAAATCAGTGACGATGCTGTCTCTGTGTTCTCATCGTCAGAAAATCTCACAATACCTGCACAATCACTCGTATAATTCGTATCTGCTTCGAAGTCCTAGCAGAAAAAGCGATTTTGGTTACAAGAAATTTGATCAGCTGAAGGTGGTCATGATTGACCGAAAGTGCACGTGTCTACATAGTTTAATAAATCGGGATATAATGAGCGTTACATTATGGAATGGTATGATGATAATGAATTTATCATAATTTGGGTTCTTATAGGATGTCATCAGGTTCCGTTTACAGTTTCATTTTGGAGGATATTAGGTACTAAAACTAAAAAATTTACCTTAAGTAAAATGAGCAATGGGTAAAATTTGATAATCCTAATAGATATATATCCAGTAAAATTTAAACAATTTTCTCCATTCAATAAACGTTCTTAAGTCAGAAAATAAAGCTGCAAAATTTCTACATTAAATACGGGATATATTATAAACTGTTTAGTCTAGACATATCTATTAGGGAACAGAAATATCTTGAAAAATATGCGATTTTCATTTGAATTTCAAGCAAACAATTTCAGTAATGACCGTCATAACAGATTCAGCTTATAGCTGAATCTGTTATATTATATAATATGTTATATTATATAATATTATAGCTGAATCTGACGATGACTGATGAAGATAAGGGATGAGCTGCATGAGGCACATTGAAAAATAATCCCGTTTCCTTATGGTTAATACATGAGTATTGAAGATTTAAAAATATCTTTAATGTATTATTTCAAAATCCTGGTTGGCTGACCAGTTCCTGTAGCGGTCAATAGGTAAAAATATTGAAGAGCGGACCAATAAAAATTTTTTGTCACTTCTCAGACATTTTTCGGAGTTTTTACATGTGCGTTAATCGAAACTTTAGGAGTGATTAATTCAGGATATATTATTGGGCTCATTCCCATTTAATTTAGTCCAATATGAACTTCTAATTCAAATTATGACTGTCAATTTTCATCATGTTCTGAATTTTCTTGATTTGATGAATTAAAATATATTTTTATATTTTATTTTATTTATTATTGCATTTATTTATTTTATTATTTTATACATATTTTTTTAAGGGTAAGATCGGTTTCAAAAGGAGATGATATCGAATACACAATTGCATGAATTTTGAACACTTGAATTTCGAACAAACAGTGGGTTATATTTTGACTTTCTGTCGTATTTCTGCTCTCAAGCCTCTATTGGTATTGCAGTGAAAAAGCAACCAATAGTTTCTAGCGAGTATTTTTAAAAACTCAAAATAATTGCATTCAGCAATTAATGTTTACACCTACACATTGGCGTAAGCTTCCAAAAATGTTGTTCTTAAGAGGGGTTATTTAAATCTATGGAGTAAATTATGTTTTAAGAAAGAAGAACAAATAAACTAATGCTTACTGCTCGCGGGTCAAAATCAGTCAAAATGTTACACGATGCTTCGCTCATTTTTTTCTTTACCGTTTTTCTAAAATTAGTCTAAAGTAGCGAACTGAACATAACTGCGAGGTTTCAACATAAGTCTTGATGTAATATCAAGACAAGCACCAATGGTTCAATGTTTGAACCTTCAAATGAAATAAAGGTGCTGTCAATAAGTTTTTATCAATTAATATTTTTGCGAAGTTATTATTATTTGAGCGTTTAAATAAGTAAAAACATCATGGAAATTTTTCGACGCTGGACTTTACTCAAGGGAAACACCGTCGGACTTTGCTTTTTTGCCGCTGAGCCAATGCCTGAACTCCTGAATATAAAAAAATTCATCCTAAAATATTTTACAATGTGGTCATTTATTTTCGAGCTGCCAAGAAGTGCATCAGAGGGGAAAAAACAAAGCATTTAAAACATTGGATGCCGCATCATCACCGGCAACCGTAGCGAAAGTGGACATTTTTAAGTATCACGATTTTGCTGTTTAGTTTAGCACACGGCGTGCCGTAATTCTTATCAGCGCTAGTTTAGACTTTGCTGCTCGTTACATAGGATTAAAACTTAGACGAAGTTTTGAAAGCTGATCAAGTAACAACAAGATACGCACTTCTCGGATTTAAGACGCCAGTATGCCCGAGACGCGCTGTAAAAATTCTTCTTTGAGTTTTGAGTGAAAAGAATAAGTGAATTAAAAATAAAGTTTTCTTCCTTCAAATAAGAATATATTGCTGAATAGCACAATCAGAAGTGCCAACAGTCTAAAAATATTCCGACGTTCCTTTCAACCAATAATAATTAAGGCTAGATCGCTCGATCGTTGTTTCTCAATTGGTTGTCTCGATCACTCGATGTTCCTTTGTGCCTCATTTTTTGTTCGCCTCAGAGCTTATTCATAGTTCATTTTCCAGATGGGATTAGACATACACTGAAATTAAATAGTAAATAGATGCACAAGGGCACAATGCAGTGCGGACGTGAACATATCAACTAGCCGATGTAAATTTGATAGACTAAATTTAACTAAAAATTAAACATAGACTAGTAAAATGAACGAGTTTTAAACAGCACCACTAAATTCTTAAAGTAGACTTGCAACAATGAAAGGTCCAAGTCATAGAAATTTGTACACAACATTATGAACTGCCAAGCTCCAAACAACCTAACCTAATAAACAAATTTTCGGTTGTTTCAAATGCGATAAATTAATTTTGAACTAAAACAGGATTATTCTATCTCTATCGGACTCAATATTTTGCAACCAAATTGAAAACCGGGAAAATCGAAATTTGCAGCTGCGATGCCGCAAACGAAGTTCATGCAAAGTTTCAGACAGCTTTTTAATACTATTTTGATATCGAAATAAGCACATTAGCTAGAAAGCATCATTTTGATTGCCTAATCAATAGTGCATGTCAATGTCACGAACCTGTAATATAAAAATTGTTTTTAGATTGTTCTATATATATGTTCTGTTTTTGTTGTTTAGATTGTTCTATATATTTCGTTTTCAAAAGTTGAATTAATGCAATTAAATGTATATTCAATGCACTTAAAATTAATCTATAAACTATTCTCACGGGAGAAAATTTTCTATTTTACAAACGTTGTAAATGGTTCAAGCTGAAAGGACTTGAAACGGTTAAAAGTTTAAAACATCATACTAAAAATTAATGCCATAACAAGCAGTTGTTAGAGGAAAAACTAACTTCATCAATAGTGCGGACATGGATAACCCTAATATAACGATATTGCAAATCTACCTCTTCTGTTGATGACTTTGAAGAGAATTTTTGGCAATATTTGGAGCCACAAAAACTAATTTTACCCATGTACGAAGATGGATGACCCTAATATAACGATATTGCAAATCTACCTCTTCTGTTGATGACTTTGAAGAGAATTTTTGGCAAAATTTGCAGCCACAAAAACTGATTTTACCCATGTACGAAGATGGATGACCCTAATATAACGATATTGTAAATCTACCTCTTCTGTTGATGACTTTGAAGAGAATTTTTGGCAGTATTTGCAGCCACACGGGGAAGTCAATCATGGCCTTCGCCCCGTGAGTGAGATTGCCCCACATGTTCAGCCACTGGTACATCTGCACGCGGTCTGGGATTCGATCAACGTCGAATTCTGCAAACGTTTTCGAGAAGAATAGAATGAATAAGAATACACATCTGAAATGCTTGAAACATTCGTCCAATTATGAAGATTTCAGTTTTTGTAATCATAGAAAGACAGAATATGGTAATTTTCTTATTGTGTAATTGTGTATATTTGACATAATTTTTCAACATAATAGTTAAAAGGACTATGATAAAACAATTTAAAGAAAAAATTTCAACTCAAAGAGAATTTTGCTAGGTATGTTTGAGATTTATTGGAGACATTAGCTCTCCAAGAGTTTTTTTCCTTCAAATTTATTCAAATTCAAGAGCAAATAGCTGCGGTCCTAAAATTTGACGAACATCCTCAAAAATAAATTTGAGGTACAAAAAAAAAATCATGCGAGTTTAAACACTCGTCATGGAATATTTGAGTTGAGAAATATATTGCAGGAAGGGAATATCTAGGCACAATGAAACACAACAACTAACAAAGCGTTATTTAGGAGGACGCTGTAGGACAAACTGAACAAGTTCATTAGGATGTGTTAGGAGCTCGAGGAGCTGCGTCTGTGATACATGACTTCATTGAAGTGTTCCCAGGAGTGTAACGGCAACGGTAAAATATGTATCATATTGAATTGTTGATAGGCTTTCTAGGTCGTTATTTAACCTATAATTTGAACCTTATTTAAATTTGAAGTTTTGGTAAATTCTTTATTTGTCACATAAAAAAGGCTGTGAGGCACGAGTCAAAAAGACCAACAGACGCAAAAAAATATCAATGAGGGGCCCGAACGAGAGGTTCAGAAAAAGATACTAGAAGAAATATTTTTATTTATTTAGAACCAAAATTACTCTATAACTTGATCCAAGAGCGTTCAGTCCATACATGTAAAGGGTTTACATTAAATGATTTTGATACTTGACTTCCGTAAGTTAAAGTTTTTGAGAAAACTCCTACATGGGTTATGAACAATAATAAAAAATAATTCCAAAATATAACTCAGTACTCACTGCAGTGAGTGACAGAGAGCGCATTTTCTCGTCGACGAAAACGTGAAGTCACGGACGGACAGACGGACGGACAGACGGACATGGCGAGCACAATAGTGCATTTTTTTCATATATGAGAAAATGCTCTAAAAAGGAAGGGATGCCCTAAAAAATAATAACTGCTGTTAGACCAAACAATCACGAGAACGTTATGAAATTGAAGCTTAAAAACTCAACAGGAATGAAAAGAGTATTGTAGTAAAAGGAAGTTGACAGTTGACTGTATTTATGACATTTTTCCACATTTTTCATTTTGTCCTAAAATGGACGGTTCAGCTGACCGGTTTTTGCAGAATTCCCAAGAGACTCGAACATAAAATAAAGCAATTCATCACACTGCCGTACCTCACTAAAATAACGCAGGAAAAAGTTTCATAACCGTGAGCGTCTTTGATCCCAAAAATATCAAAATCCCGATACATCTTTTGCATGCATTTACAAAAAATATAACTCAGTACTCACTGCAGTGAGTGACAGAGAGTGCATTTTCTCGTCGACGAAAACTTGAGGTCACGGACAGACGGACGGGCAGACGAACAGACAGACAAACAGACAGACAGACGGACATGGCGAACACGTTTCCATAAATGAGAAAATGCGCTAAAAATATCATACTACGAAATTTTCAAAATAGCTTGAGAAGCCGAGCTCTGCCAATGAATTCTACCAAAGTTTATTGTTTTCAACCAGGAACTATTGTTTATCTCGTCTTCACTGACAAGAATTAAGCCTCATCATCCACCTAGAACAAAGCGATGTAATTTTGGATTCAAGCAGCGCATGGAAAATCGATGCGTTGTCACTGGTCGCTTACAGATGAAGCTTCATATGCGTCCTTAGGGAGCGATTATCTCAGCACCTAATGAGGCTACGAGCCACGCAGTGAGCCGCTTTGACTTCGTTGTGCAATAAATCTTTTGACGCACACATGTGACATAGAACACGATAATTTTGGGATAAGTGTAATAATCTATCGATACGCATATGCTCTGTAGAACACCAAGCAAAACCGAGAAGGGTGATAAATATATTGTGCACGCCATGAGATACGCAATGCTTAACAGAAAAGGGTAATATATTTTTTGATATATGTTTGCTATGTATAAAATACAATGCTTAATTCTAATAAACCTATTGATGCACACATCCTCTAGAGAACACAAAGCTAAGCAGCAAACACTGATAATCTATTGAAGCGTACATGTTACATACAACACAAATCTCGAGACATAAATAAATCTAAAGACGCACACATTCTCAGCATAACACAAAGCTCGCTAACTTAGCGTAAAGATCTATCAGGAATATCGGGATTAGGGAATAAATGAACCACAAAATCCGATACAGAAAAAAAGAAGGATGGGAATATATATGGACTGCTGACTCATGGCGAATAAATTCTTCATATACAACTGGAGTAAAATTTTGGTGATAAAACATCTAACTAATAAAGAGTTACAGTGAATAACCCGCTTTGCTCTTTGGCCAGCTAGTATTTCAATACATCCTAATTACTGTACCTATGAAACATAATTTTTGTCGTCTGATTACGTCTCAATCTTTTTTATGCTTCTCTCTGTTCCTGCAGTCTATTTTATTTCCTTCAGTTTTTAATTTTTCAATTTCCTGACCAACTATTTTATGGTCCCCGGAAACGCGGCCGCCACTCGTCCGACTATAATTCCCGGCTCTCTTTTAAAAATAAATGTATCAGGGTTCCAAAAAATTTCTGTCCGGGATATTGATATGGCACTAATACGGCCAAACTTGTTCAGGATGACCCGCAAAAGGGCAAAAAGTGCTTCGCCATTTGAACAACTTTTACTCACCGAAGCCGTACTCAGGCTCTATCCTGCCGACATGCTCCAGTAGACACTCAAAGAAATCAGAATGAATTTCTTTCATTGTAATGAAGTATTCATTGTCCTCATGCCAGCCCGCGTAGTGCCGCATTCGCTATTTGAAAGGAAAAAATTAGTTGCTTGCACGTTATTTCACATTAAAGTTTAGTTTCACAGTTAAATTAATGATACAAATTCACTTATGGCCTAATTTTAAACAAATACGTTCAATAACATTAATAACATACCTTTTGACAGAAATTTAACTACTTGATCATGCAGTCTTACATCCACCGCAATTTCAAAATTTAAAAATGAATTTCAAGTCATTATTTCAGCTTACAAAACGTCTAGACCAACACAACACACTTATATTATATTTTCATGTTATGTACAGAGCAACAAATTCTCCAAAAACATGTTAAGAAAGCAGCATAATCTAGAAAATTTACCATCCTCTAATTACTTTTAACTTGGTAACCGTATTTTTAGCAGAATAATCATCCCAAATGGAACCTTTGATAACTTTTCTTAGTAAGCTTGATTTTCAAATCCCATAGGAAATTAAATCTTTTAATTTATTTCAGCCGAGCCACAAAACTATAGGGGTTGGATTCATCGGAGCGAAGCGCCTCCGCTCCATTGAATAATGAATATAAAGAGTCAACTGGGAAACATTTGATTAAATCCGAGTGAGTAATTTCAATGCTTCGTTTGCATTTAAATTTTGCATGTCATAAACTTGAGTTTATTTCTGGTTCCCGTTTAGTTATCATTAAAATAATGAAAATACTAGCTAGATTGTGTTCCTTCATTGAAGTATTTATCATCAATTATTTATTTATTTATTGTCCCTAGTAAGACTTAGCACCTATACGATTTACTGCAAATAATTGAGAAAGGAAATAATAACAGAGAAAGAAATTTATTTGGTTCCCAAATGACGGACTACATGTATTTTCAGGTAAGAAATTCCAAATTCTGCTCTTTTTTGGGGTCAACCGATTGAATAATTTCGAATTTCTCTAATAAAAAAAGGCATTTTAAATTCTTGGGCCATTCTTGCCATTGTTGAGCGCAATTTATTGCTCTGAGATCTCGGAACTCACCTCGTTGAGGGCTAGGATGTCTTCAATTGTGATAACCCGGTCTTTGTTGTGGTCAAAAACATCCGTAAAATAATAGGTGAACTTCTCGACTTGGAAGTCGGACAAGAAGTTTTTGCCTTCCGGAATCTGTTCGGAATCGTCTTCTTCGTAAGGCCGTCTCACCCACGTTGCTGGAATTAAACAAAATTAAACGATTGATAAGTTTAGTTAAAGATGACAATTAAATGAAGTTAGTTGTGATTTATAGCCTTTTTCAAAGATAGGAAAGTAGCCTGCGTCCCAGCTTTGAAATGTTTTAAAATAAAATATAAATGATTATCAATTTGCAACTTAGCAGTATTATTGGAAAAATGCTCTAAATTGACGACAGTTATTAAAAAAGAGCGTAATTTCTCGTAATTATTCAATATAAATGGAAACGAATTGATGATAATTATTTGTTTATACCCGAAACACTTTAAGATCGAAAAATATATCCAGGCTTCACACAGCATCCAGCTGGGACAAACTCAATCTTGTTGAGGCAAGATTAAAAGATAATAAACATCAAAACGCCCATGAACGAGCTTAGGAATGGTTCATTAGAACGTGCAGTTAAACAAACGGGGCAGGGTAACTGAGCGTAAGATTTGCGAGCTGACTGAGCGAGCCCTAAATATTTGAAAATTGGAAGCTGGCGTGGTTTTTAAGGTCTTCGTATTTTTTGACATATATTATTTCTCAAAATGTCGAGACATTTTACTCAGTTGGCATATGTATATCTTCTCAAATTAATTCATAATATCACGTGTGCAAAATCTAATAGGTAATTCTGGAATTAATTTATACGAGAATTTGCGGTTACCATACTTTTATCAGTAGCAAGATTATTTATGTATAACAATAAAAATGTTATATATAACTGCTATGACTTCGTTGGAAAGCAAAGCACACTTGCACAGGAAAAAAAATCACCGAATTTTTTCGTTTAACATCAATAGTTATATTATTTACGAAAGCATAAATATCGTTAGGTAACTAGTATAAGCAAGAAAAAAGAATAAAAATATCAATAACTTTAAATACAGTTATTAATTCACAGAAAAAGTGAGTTATTCAAGCTCCTAAATTAAATTAATACTGATAAATCTTGATATACTAATTAGATATTTTTGATTTTGCTGGAAACGGAAAAATTCGATACCAATGCGGTTATGAGTACAAGTGTTACTGCACATCAGAGTTACTTGAATTATATGTAATGTCAGGGGCGAACATTAAAATATCCATAAAAAGGGCCTTTTGAGTTCAAATAGCTGCAGCAAATTCAGGTTACTGCTAGCACTTTTATTATTTATTTCCTAGTTTTCGCCCAGTGTGGTCTAAAAATGTTTGGAAATTTTTGCCACCTGATTTGTTTTGATAATTCGCATGCTTTTATACAACCCCTAGTTTAGCTGAAAATTTGTAAAATTTTAATAATTTTTTTAAACAAGTTTAGACTTCCCGTAGTTTTCAGCATCAATCTAAATTTTATTAAAATAACGAAAGTTAATAAAAAGGTTTATGTTTATACAAAAGAAAAAAGTTTTCCCTTATTCAAGATCAATGCTAACTTTCCGTAAAAGCTTCTGTATGACTCAAAGTTCATCATGACAATTAAAACACCACTCTTTCTTAGAACAATCTGTATAATATTTTCGATGTCCCCGCCAGCTAAATATTCCTGAAGAATTTATAGAGGATAATACAACATGGGGATTGGGAATTATTCTAAGTGATTGGACGTTTCTTTGAGCAGGTTGACGACAGTTACTATCCGGTATATGTCAGATTCATCTCTATCTTTAATAAAACTGATGACAGCTATCCTGCGGATAGCGTCGAGTGCTCCTAGAGATGATATGCAATTTCTGTCCGGAATAAGTTGAATTCTCTTTAATAATATTTCAATAATATTTTGTTCATGAAGATATTTGATGTAATTTAAGGTAAAAATTGAACATATAATTTGCCAAAACTGTCCGTTGCTATTCGTTTTAATAAGAACACGGATGTCTGTTTGCATTAAATCATAAAATTTGTCCCTGTCTACTTGTTTTAATATTCATCTCAAAACTCTCGTCATATTATAGTTTACTAAATTTAAATTAATTTTCCAGCTGCGAAATTTAAGAGAAGCGGTTTCAGTCTAACAGGTAAACTAAAAATGTTATGGAGATAATATAATTTTGAGCCTAGCAAAATGAAAAATGAATTTGCCTGAGTCTTCTGGAGCGAAGCTAAAAATGAAAATTCAATTTGCCTTATCTCGACGATGAAACTGTTAGACTTATTTCATACCTGTTAAGAAATCAGATCAAAACTGAGCAAAGTTTGGTCGCCATATTCTATTGGGTATAAGTAACATGTCAATCAACAAGGTTGAAGAAGCCAATATTTGAGAGATAAATAATATTTGGAGAAGATGATAATTGAGAGAGGTTTTCAGTTGAGTTTTCCACATAGAGTGTGGAGTTTTTTTCCCTTTCAAATTTGTATGTCCAAAATCGTATGGTAATCATTAAAAAAAATTTTGCGGTTCTGGTTTCGTTAAGCGATTACTTTAGCGGCTGGAACACAGTCCGTGTCTAGGAGACTGGAAACCATCACTATTCTCCAGGGGATAAATGACCGCGCGCCAGAAAGGGACTAGATAAATATTGCATTGCCATGCAGGTGCTCGTAGCACGCGGGAAAAAATGCTGCTATTTCTCTGCTGGGACCCTATTTGCTCGGCCGAGTCCAACCACTTCTATAATCCAAGAAGGAATTACATTTGAGAAACTTACCACGTGATTTCTTTCGTTGGGAAACGTGTTAATAAAACACTTTTAGTGATAGACAATACTGGATGTCTCTTAGCTTTCACGTACATATAGATTTCTCGTACATAGATGTTAATGGAGAGGAGCAATAGTAAAATTAATTTCACCATCGTTCACTTTGTGTCAAACTTATCGAACAAAATGTTTTAAGTAATTTATCAGTGGCAATTTGATTAACATTCAAATATTCGTACATGGAGATTAATCTACTGTCGTTTTTAGTTTCCGGCTGTAAATCCCAAATCAATAACGCAGGCGTTAATAAGAGAAAATCATGTCAGCCTTCATGACTGCTTTACTATTCTGAATTAAAGTTAAATTAACACAAATACAAATGCGGTTCCAATTAAGCGGATTAAATTACATATTAAAATGTTCAATGCGACTTCACGTTTTTATCCGGGATGGTTTTAGTCATAAAGCCAATGTATTTTAGTATGAAAATTAAGGATTGCAACTAGTATAACTCTATGCACATATGGAAATACTGGTAGAAAAAGTTTGAATTTAAAAGTTAAATGAAAGAAAGTCTACCGTTTACTAGTGCTCATTTCATGTCGTCATTTGCATGTTTCCGTTTTAATACCTGATAGTGTATTTTACTTTACTTATTGATTGACTAATTGATTGTATTTGTGTTTCTAGGACTCGCTTCATGATCTGACGATGGAGTTGGACTCCGAAACGAAATAAATGGTGAATTTTTGTGGTATTGTCTTGGCTTTTAAATTTCTGGTTAACTTGCGATTTAAGCAAACAAGTGATTTTAATAATGAATGGAAGTCTCGCTTAAAATTTTGCCCTTTTGAGAAAAATGCATGCAAGCATCATACCATTTACTAAACTCCAGAGCGTCGTGAATTAACCCCTGAATTGAAATTAACCCCTTGCCAGAGATTAAATTTTTATGAATTATTATTTACATTTTATGCGTGGTTTAAGATATATACGCACTGCCTCATAAGTTGATGACAAATACATACTAATTTCTATACTGGAAAAGCTATACTGGATGAATGACCATTTAGCATCAAAAACATGTTTTATATACAGTATTGTGTGGCCTAAAAGTCGAGACCTTTGTCCACAAGTCTATGTGCAAAAGGTGCCCTTAAGACTAATACATTTATCTAGACCCGACGTCTCGAAGGAGCAGTGATGGAGTCAGTGACTTGGAAAGGTCGGCAGCTGCTCATGTTTTTTCCTTCAGAAGAGACAGAAAATGTGGGGCGAGCAGGTCGCTTGCATGCCGCGTCATGTGGAATTTGCGAGAAAGTTTAATGGGTTCAGACAATCGTCGTCTATTGTATAAAAGAAGGTTTTTTAGTGGAAAGTTACATACCATTTCATCCTTTTATGTTGAGTGCTTTTAGAAAAAAATTACTTCCGCAGCATGATAAACAGGGGGTTACAAACTTGATAATATTGACTTGTATATAACCGTAGCCGGAGATCGTCACTGGAATTAATGAAAAAAATTGAGCAAACTTACATGAAGGCCAAAATTGATGTTTTTTTTACTTTTTTAGTTCCTTTACTTATGAAATAAAACATAAGAAATGAAAGCTATTGAACATTTCAAATTATTTGCCTATCTGAATCTTTTTTAGCAGCATGACATCCAAATTTTTTTTCACCTAAAATTATCCTATTTTACTATCTTCTATTATCGTATTGCAATATAATATAAAGGATTTTCATGTTCCACTGAAATTTGCTGTCGAGCAACAAATCACGTAGAGGGGATCAGCATTCATTATTTTCTCGCGAATGTACTGACTGGATATACTCGAATTCTGGCACAAATCTCCGAATACTTTTCCCTGATAGATGCGACTAGAAACGTAAATCATGGCAAATATCCGCAGACTTTTCAATTTTCAATGCGGCTATAGTTACTTAAATCCTGGCATGAATCTCCGCAGACTTTTACATGTCAGGATCGCCTCTATATACTTAAATCCTGGCACAAATCGCCGTAGATTTTTCCATGTTCAATTCGCCTCTATGTACTTAAATCATGGCACAAATCTCCGCAGACTTCCTAATCTTAACTAGAATACCATCTGCTCAGACTCAATGATTAGTTTCTCTAATAATATATTCTTGAAGATTCTAATCAACTTCTACTGCAATATAAAACTCCTTTTCCTAAACTGCTTCATAAAATTTATAAAAAAAGAGACGTTTATTGTTTGCAAGATTTCGAAGTTTCTGCGCTCGAAATTATATTCTTCCACGCCAGATTCTGAATAAATTCAAAGTTCCTGGACTGAATCATGAAATAGTTTTATCGAGTCTTCCTAGACTCGTAAAATAAACTT